CAGGCAGTATAGCTGAGGAGAAAAAGTACATTTCATTAGCAAAAGTCAGTCAAGTTCCCATGAAAATACAGTTTTGTGTTCAAAACACTGATAACATTTTTAATAGAGAACTCCCACCTGACTGCCTTATGCCAACATCCACAAAAAGCAGAGCTGGCGGCTTCCCACACAAACATCCCTCTCAGCAACACTTCCATTTCTGTAGTATCAAGCAAAGCCAGAGGAGAAGAAAAACTAAATGAAATAGCTTTGTCTTCTTAAAAATTGCGCAGGGGTTACATTATCTGCGTGCCACCTGTACACTGAAGTTGGTCATCCATGACTAACAAATTGAAACACCAAAGCACAGTAGGTAATACAGTCCAACGAGAAATGTCTGATGCAGCACACGGAATTTGAGTATGTGTGGAAAAACCACGGAGCGATCCTTGCACGGTATGTAAAGGGAGAGCCTAGGGTCTGTTTCGAGGTGCTAGTTGCAGTTCTGGCCTTACTGAACTCTATCCAAATTTGCTGTTGGTTTTGGTCAGATGAAGATTTCTTCCCTGGTCCTCACCATCCAGAGCAGCAGGATTGGAAATGTGGGCTGGAGAAGTTGCCTGGATTTTGTGCTGCATTTCGTATCATTCTTCTGTGGCTTCCCAGGCTGGATGCTAAGGAGAGGCGTACGTTGCAGGTGAACACAAAATTCCCTGAACTGGGTCGTCTTGCCGGGGCTTTCCTCATGAAACACACTGAAGAGTTATGTTCTTTTTGTGTCGTCCCACCAAGGGGAAGGAAGAAAAGTGTATGTGGATCCATAGTCACATGTGGTTTTAAATCTTTCCCGTGGCAAGAAAATGAACTGTGTGTAGTTTGCCTGTAGTCTCGGACCAGGCTGAAGATAATAGGAGATTATCAGGAAAGGAACCAAAACTCAGCCAAGCTGGAAACACTTGTATTCAGGTCAGTTGGGCAACCTGGATTTTAGGGTATGTCATTGCTGTAAAGTTACGCAGAACCTTTTCTTTTGCTTAATTTTTAGCGCTTAAAAGAAGAAGAGGGAGAGAGTCAGTCCTCAGCTGGCATAAATAGACACAGCTTTACTGAAGTCAGTGTGCATCTGTTCACTCTGGTGAAGGATATAATTACCCCATATTGCACTCATTTTATCAGCCATTGCTAATGTTTTCTGTGTGATCCTTTAAAGCTTTTCAAGAATGAAAGCTCTGTCGGCTGCTCCCAGCACTTTGCCTCTGTGACATATGAATTGTGCCAAATCCATTTTGAGTTTTTGTTTCTAAGCTCTGAGTACAAGGGTGAAGTGAAAATAAAGTGTGAATAATGGTCTTTCTCTCAAAGGCGATGTGATACTGCGTTGAGCTGAAAAATTTACTCTCGTACAGATCGGCCCTGCCAGTATGAAGGGCTGATTGATGCTGAGCACGATCCAGCTGATATCTGGTACTGGGGAGGGGGAGGGCTCTTCAGTGTCGCTGACAAAGCTGTAACAAGAACCAGGGACCGGAAGCTGAAGTTAGGCAAATTCAACCTTGCAATAAGATGTCAGGCATGAGCATGATGAAATATTACAGCAGTTTACTGCGGCTCATGAGGAATTCATTGTTAAGAAGTCTTTTTTTGTTTTAAAATCAGTCGCCAGATTGTGGGAGAGATTCTATGGCCAGTCTGTGAGCTGGAGGATCATGCTGGTCCCTCTTGGTTTTGTAATTGAAGTGCAGTTGTTAACTTCCCTTCTTCACCAGGCCACAAGGAGAGCACATTTGCCAGAATTGCCCTTAACAGGTCTCATAGCACCTGCAGATCTGCACAGAGATAACTGTTCTAATTAAATCCTCTCCTTTAGGACTACATAGGATTGCCCACAGAGATGGGAGGAATTGCACACTTTCCTCCCCCTCTCCTCCTTTTCCCCCATACTTTTTTGGGTTGGAACTTGAGGGCTCATTTTGTAAGTTTTTCTTTTTTACCTTTCTCTTTACTACAGCATGGGAGCAGCTCACCCGATGGGATGTAGCTCAGGAAATAGATTGCTGGTGATCGCAGTTGCCTTTGTCAGGGGTGACACGCGTCAGGCTCTCCCATCTCTGCCACTCAGCAGTTCCTTCACCTCTGTGGTGTTCAGAAATCTGTGCTCTTGAGAGCTGGAATGATGTTTTGGTGTAATGGAAGCCTTTGGGCTTCACAGAGGGACATCTGGATGAAGCTTAATAATATGGGATATACAAGGAGTCATATTAGTCACAGGAGCTGATTCCCTCCTGATCTGAAACTCTTTAAAATACATGAAATTAGAGGTTGCTGGACAGAAGAGCACTCTGATTATCTCACAGGATTGGGCTCTCTGTTATTTCCTTGTCTGAAAAGCAGCAGCCCCCACCTAGTGAATTCTCAGGTCTGGGATTATCTTCTTGAACAGCGTGCTCACCTGCAGGCTATTGGAGAATACCAGGGGTGTCTGAATAGTGCCGCCTAAAATCAAATGTTTCTGTTACTCTGGGTCTTGAGGAAACTCAGGAACAACATCGGCTTGTGAAATCATTATATTCATGAAGAAACTCTCTCTTCTCCTGCCTTTAGAGCCCTGGTAGTATCACATTCTGTTTTGACAGCTGTCAGAAGTTAAATGAAAGATATTTGGGGAGAGGAGGGTTGAGCTACAGGAGAATTGTTATTTGCGGCGCTTGCCAACAGTTGCAGTTTTCACTCGGTAATGTACATGCTGTCTGTTATTCCTTCTCTTTTCTTCTCCTTTGCTAAACTTTTCCTCCTTTTATTTCCGTGGCTGTTGAAATGGGGCTCTGGTGCCATCCAACCTGTGCTACTTTCCGTAGAAAACGTCTTTTTGACACCTTGCCTGTGAAATGCAGTCCATGCCCTGCCCTAGTTTGTCTCCAGCTCTTCTTTGGCAACTGTCAGCTTTCAAACTTCTGCTGGTGCCACTGTCCTCCTTTCATCCCCTGTATTTAAGCTACAGTTTTGATGTGAGGAAAAAGGAATTTACGCTAGCTCGTTCCTTCCGGTTTTTTTCCTTCCCAGCTGACCCCATTTATTTTCGCAGATTAATGTGGCGGTTTGGTTTTTAACGTGGAACTCTGCGAAAGCTCCTCCGCTTGGCTGTTTAGCGAGTGCTTACGCTTAGTGTGCAAAGGGGGAAGGGTCATAGGTGTTAGGGCACAGGGGGCTGGTTTGGATTCATGTCTGCGGGCTGGAGAAATAAACATATCACTTTCCATTATTTTAGATAAACATTATTTTAACTTATTTGAGCTTTAACTCAGGAGCGCCTGAAACTTTTCCTGTAGTCAACCCTTTTTATTGCTGTATGATGGGCAATGCGACATGAGCTGAACTTGGCGGGGCGTTGGCGGGGGCTTAGGCTGTGCAGATCGCTGTACCTCCTTCGCATCACACGGTGGCACAAGACACCCAGCACATGTTCCTGCGTTTGACTGGGAGCAGCTATTTCAGTACGCGGCGCTTGATAGAGAATATGCTGCTCTGGAAAATTGTCTGTTTAATTGTCTGTGCAGGAAGAGCTTATTTTGTAGCCAAGTAATATGCCTTCATCCACAACTTGCAGAGTGTGTATTAAGGGTGTGTATAGGGCTCGTTGAGGTATTGCATCTGACAGCTCATACATAGACGCGGTAGTGGAGAAAAGATAATTATATAACTGGAATATAGCTATATATAGGCGTTTAGTTTTAATTAGGCTTTTGATTAGATATAAAAGTGCAGTTAAGAGTGACAGATACCGTATATCCTAGTAGACTACATGACAGGTTTTGGCTAGAAAAACTCCTGAGCCTATTTTTTGTCAGTCTTGATTTTTTCTGAAGGTGTCAGTGACTGTTCTATTGAATCTTTAATCTGAAATACTCCTTATTCTCTCTCTCTCCTTCTCTCTATATATGTGCTTATCTGACTGTATGTTTACAGTATTTCTGTTGGTAACAGATGTTAGATCAATTTACAAGAAAACTGTTTTGTTTTAGGGAGAGGTGGTATAATTTAGATTTTAGCCAAACCACTAAGAATTAAATTTGGGTATTTGGTAGCCATGATAATTCATTTTAACTCTATTTTGCCAAGCTTCTCAGGCTTTCTTTTCTGAATAATGGTACTATTTCTGTGAGCGTGTCTCTGAACGCATGAGGATGAGTAATTTGTTAAAGGCTTACGTGTGAGAGACTTATATAAGATATAACATAGGAGGGAAAGGGTATTATTACAAAAATACAGAAGTAGCTGTTACACAATCTGCGTGTGTAACTGACACTGATACAGACGTGAGCAAATTGCTTTAAGTATCATGTCTCCTATTGCACTCAGCTGTTGTTTATGTTGTAAGCCTTTTGCAGAATGGTTGGACCAAGATGGATTTAAACCAATCCTCTGCCCACTACTTTTGAAAATAAGACCATTAACTAATTATGGATATGAAGCTAATTATGTCTCTCTCTTTCTCTTTCTCTCTCTCTCTCTCTCTCTCTCTCTCAAACATCTTGGCCAGGGTATGTGTCTGGTATCTTAACTAAATAAATAGAATAATCATTACATAAATTGATTGGATAGAGGAAAAAGAGAAAAAGCCCTTGCAAGTACTGTCAGTGTATCTTGACTATGGCTCGTCATAGCTTAGTGCAGTTTTGCATTATTTCACAGCGGGTCTGCAAGTCCTTCCCGTGTTACCCTGAAGTTGTGAGCTGAACGCAGCGGCTTCCTGGCTTTGTCACGAGCCTGATGCAGGAGCTTGGGCAAACCCTCTTCCTTGCTCTTCTTTGCCTCTGTTCCCTTTTTCGCTTTCCAGTTACCCTGACTACTGACAACGTAGATGCTCCTGAGCAGGGCGGTGCATGTTGGCATTGCTGGTAGGTGTTAGGATCCTATTGGCAATCGAGGGCCGAGTTACCAGAACTGGTAGAGCTTGCAATAGGTGTGTTGCTGCACTTGATAGTCACTGAGGGGATGAAGGGGTACGGCTCCTCCTTGTCACGATGGAGAGTGATGGCCAGCCTGGTGAGACGATTTCCCGCACATCAGTAAATCCCCACGTTTTCATTAAATCGCTTACTTAGGCTTGAGATTGAAGTCAGCACCATTGGAAGAGCTCCGGTAGACATCAGCGCGGTGACACGGGCAGCTGTTTCCCGTGTCTGTCTGTTACAACTTGTCATTCTGTTTCACAGTGTGGAAGGTGCGAGAAGTGACAGGACAAAATAAGCACAGAGCCTGTTTTACGCGGCCATGTTAACGAATAAGCTGTGAGGGAAGTTAACTTCATGTGAGGCAGTTTAAATTATTTATTTTCAATCCTGGAATTGTACTTAACGTGTTGTTAAGGCAGAGCCATGTTGACAGGGTGACGTTAATTACCCCACTGGAAACACATCACATTAGCTGGAAGCGATTGTTCATGGCTCTGGGTAAAGCCGCAGCCTTCGCAAATCTTGGCAATCAGTTTCCCCCCCGGCTCCATCCATGGAAGTTCCTTCTGCATCCACCCGCAGCTGCAAACTAGCTCTTTACTCACAGCAACAAAATACAAAGTTCAATGGTTATGGGTTTTCCCACAAACACCCCCTCCCCCCCGCTCCTTTCCATGGCACATCTTATAAATATGAGGATCTTCATTCACTGATCCACCAGTATAAATTTATATGCTGACTGTTCCTGTAAATGCTTTCCCACAACTCCCTTAATGATTCTGTTCCCACTCCTTAATTTGTAGCAAGACTGTTGTGTCCCCCAGAACGTGAAATTATTGCATCTTGGATTTCCATTCTTTGCAAAGCCTTTGGCTTAAACATCCCTGCTGAGAACTGGATGGGATTTGAGTAGCATCTGTATGGATGTGTGCTAATAAAAGTGAGGAACTGACTTTCTTCTCCCTTCTTGTTCAGCATTGCAATGAGTTAAGGACTCCAAAATGACTCAACTGAGGAGCGCTGGGAATATATCTACGAGTAAACGAATGTCTGGCTACTTTGTGTTGCTACGTTATGTTTTTCTAGATGGTCCCATTCCATGGTTAATGCAATTGGAGATCCTACTGGGAGAGTTCATGTATGCAGTGTTTGTTCACCATGGTGTGAGGCTGTGTCTAATAACGTCTACTCCGTTTGTAGGTTAGGCCAAAGACCCTGATTCCAGACAGCCTCCCTATCTCCCCGTGCAGAGACCAACCTTCCAAGCAGCCTCCTACCTTCCAGAAGGCAACCGTAGTCAGCATCAAAAACCCCAGCCCTGCCCTCCCGACTGCCAATAACACCGTCAGCCATGTACAGACGCCGAACAGCCAGTCACAAAGTGTCACCGAGTCCACAGCTATTTCATCACCTCTGAGCAGCGCAGGGGTGGCGTACGCCATCATTTCCACCTCCCCCAACAATGCAACTCCTATCAGCACCAGCGCGACTGTCTCTGTGGTCAACGATAGCATTAAAGTGCAACCACTCCTCATTAGTGCCGACAACAAGGTAGGTTCTGCTTTTCCCTTTTTTTTTTTTTTTTTTTGCTATCAAACACAGGAATTACATTGCAGATGTAAGCAGAATATTCCCCTGGGAGTGCACAGCCCTGTGCAGAATGATGGCAGTGGTTCCTTTTGAAGAAAATAATCAGAAGGCAATGGGAAAATTCTTAGCGAGACACATGGACAGTGGTTGACATTTGTCTGTCTACATTCGTATTTTTCAGGAAGAACAAAATGCAGCATGATGTAGCCTTACATTAATGGGAGCATATGATATTCCATTTCTTTAAACCAAGCCTCACTAATAATATCCTTGAATTCTGTGCAGGCTTGAATTTCCTATGGACTCCCTCTTCAATTATACAGTGATATTAGTTATATCAACTGACACCAGGGGAGTGTGTCAAATAATCAGGCATTCCCTTCTACACTTTCAGGGGAATTCCAAATGAAATGACAGCTCAGGGTTTTAAAACTGATCAGCAGATGAATCAGTAGGAAAAAATCAAGTTATGAATTACTTGTTTCCTCTTTGTACTGCTTTCCAGCTTTCAAATGCAAGAACTTCACCACTCTTGTACCGGAAACAGACACAATAAAGGCTGCCAATGTACCCAGCAGACATTTAGTGTAATTTGCTACTGGGATCCTGCTCCTTTGCGTTTTGTTGGCAGCACAGATCCTCATACAATGCTAAAAAATAACATAGAATGTAGGATGGCTTTCGAGGTTAATAAGATCAGGCATCTCTTTCCCGTTTTTCTAACATAATTTATTTTTCTCTTACTTAAATGGGCTACTGTTTAAGAAAACCATCCCTTTCCATGCTTTTGAGTCTTCTAGAGTGACTGAGTTGAGATAAAGTAACAATTAAATACCATTGATTGAAATTTAGCAATGAAATAGATGGCAAAGGCCCAGGGTTCAAATCCAATAACCGTCACCAAGAAGGTGAGCTTGGGAAGGTCTTCCCTAGTCCTTCACGAAGCTTTGATTGTGGATATAGTCACATTTGTACTTCTGCGGTCAGAAACTGTCCTTCATGCCCTTTAATTTAATAGCTGCTGAGGTGACATTACCATCATCAATAGCTGCACCACATAAGACTTCATGTGGTAATTCAGATACGAGCAGCTGGATATACTAACATACACACAGGTATGAGAGATCTGTGTAGCAATTCCAATAGGATCTAAACCAGAACTGAATTTTAATTTAAATTTTGTTTATGCAAAACTGATCATCCACTGCTGATAGCCCATAAATGCTAAGGACTGAGCTCTGACCTCCGTTACATGGGTAGTCCTGAGGAGTGTTTTCCTTCCCATCCCCATGTACTTCCTCTGAAATAATACTGGTATAACTGAGATCAGACTGTGGTTTTGAGCATGTAGTAATTCCATCTCTTCTACCTGCGTGCAAAATAAAATCAAAGGGAATACCTTAAAATCACTGACAACACGAGTCCTAAAGCTAGGATGCTGAATCAGCTTCAGAAGTCCTCTAAATAGAAAACATCCTAATTTTCAGAGGCACTGAAGTGGCTCCCTTAGGCTGCAGTAGGTTCATGATGCATCTATGACAATTAATTTTTAGAAACTCAAGTATGTATTTAGAAGCTTAACCTAGGTATGCAGGTTTTTAGGTTTTTTGGCTTGTGTCTTGCATCTGTTTTTTGTAGAGGTATCAAGTAACTGTTCAAAGAAGAATCAAAGGTTTCAGGCAGAAAAATCCAGTTTCATATAGTGAATTATCTTCTTTTATTTGTACGTTGTCTTTTAGGTTATCATTATTCAGCCTCAAGTCCAAACCCAAACAGAAAGTAAAGTGGAGACAAAGAAACCTCCTGAAGAGTCAGCTCAGGGCCCCCCTGCTACCAAAAAGAAAAAGGAGGAAAATCCAGAGGTGATTTTTAAATTTTTTTTTCTAAATACATGACCCACCGCGTGGCTAGGTTATGGGGGCCATTGCTAAACATTTTCCTAGGTGCATACGTAAATACTGCAGCTGTGCTCATGGTTGTGCCGGTTGTTCTTCACTCTGTCCAATCACTGGAACTGGGGTGATGTCCCCACCAGTGAGGTGCTCTGACAAATTTGGTTGGCATCATTCAAACCTTCCAGTGTCACAAACGTAAGAACTGTAGTTCTCAGAATACCTTAGGCACTTTGCATGGGTATAGCTGTATTTCTTGTGAAAGGCTTGTTTATGCTACCAAATACGTAACATTTGGTTTACAGGCTACGTATGAGATTGAATTAGCATTTCTTTTGTAAGCTGAGCTTCTACGTCTTCTTTGTAAGGAATCTTGCAATTTTTAGATTGTATTCAAATGTACCATTGCTCGCATTTGCTGTGTACATGTCTTCCCACGTGTACACAGATTCTCTCTGGTCTGAAATACGTACAAATTCTTCAAATTAATTGAGAGAGTAGAAAGCAGGTTATAAGATTAAATCTCTTTCATGAACTGTATTTGCAGTGTAAACTAAAAATATAAATCGGAAGTCCTTGTAGAAATGGGGCCTCTCTTTAGCATGCATTTTGGGTTTTGACTAGGTGTATTCATATGTGTGTACTTTTGAGGCAATTGAGAAGTTACACGAACTGCATCTACTTCCATTGTGGAAATGCCTAGCTCATGTGAAGTCATAACCTCGCCACTCTAATGAATGTGTAGCAAGAAAGCATCCGTGGAGCTGTAGGTTTAAGAGGATTTTCACCGTATAAATTTATAATGTTACTTGGGGCGTGTGGGTGGTCATTCATTTGACCTTTTTAAGAGGTTCATATAGTTAAAACAGCATTGAGGATAAATCGTGGAGTTTAGCCTAGAGTGTCACAGACTGAACTGCACTTACGAAACCTCCCAAGTTCAAAATCTGACCCTCGTATGAGTCTTCATTGCCGCTGAATGGTGGGACTGCAGGGTCTTGTTCTGTTCAGGGAGGTATTTCCAAAAGATTACCTGGTGTGTAGCATCTCGTGGGCACAGAGGGTCAGAGATCCTGCTTAGAAAACAGAATGCTAGAGAAACCATCCACTTTTCCTTGCCTGTTATCCTCCTCCCAGAAGAATATTGAGCAGAAATTTTCCAGAGAGATGCAGGAAGAGACCGTGGGACTGGGCACACTTTTTGGTAGAGCGTTCACAAATTTAATGAGCTTTTTATGAAATGGCTAACTGGAATATCCTGACTATAATTTTGTACCCGAGAACACTGTTCCTCCCGTGTGCACTGGAGGTCTCAGCAAGCCCAACTGTCTGGGTAGGATAGCGAAGCTACGCCCTTGAGTATGATGGTTCTTTTCATCGATTCCTTTCGTGGCTGTAAATATGTAGGTCTAGGGTTAATTTCTTTTGTTCTTTGAAAGTAGACTTTAGCTGTTTATCTTGTATTTATGCAATTAGTGCAATTAGAACTAACAGCATAATTAGTGTAAATACATGTAATGACATAAATAGAACATGTAATTACAAAATGAAATGGTTTTGTAAAAATCTTTGTTTTCCTTCGTGAAAAGACATACTGTGCATTTCTAAGAGCATGCATGACTTTTAAACAGATGATTAAATTTAGGGCAAAGAGGAACAAAGATACCATGATGATTTTTTAAGGAAAATAAACACTGCAGGCACTTCTCTCCACACCTTTATTTATCATCAAAGCACAAAACTGAGGCAGCAACTCCAATATGGCTCTACATAAATGTGAATCATGACACACTGAGATTCAGTGAATTAAACTGAAAATTTAAAACAAATAAACTAGGAACCACCAGACTTACCAGGAGCCAGGAATCCCATATGAGCATACATGAATGAACAAAAAGGAATGAGGATAGTGACTGCCTTTTTTTCCTGGCTTCATTCTGCTGGGAAGCCATGAAACTCCTCCTGGACACAGACCCCTGTGATACATGTACCTTTTGCATAAGCCAAAGATTTCTCTTTTCCCAAATACGTCAGTGTTAGACTGAAGCAAACCTCCTCCCGTCCGCTGTCTTGCAGCCAGGATGCCTGGCTGTGTACCTGCTTTCCCAGAGCAGGATGGAGGGTCTCAGCCACCCAGGATGTCCCAGGTGCAGTGGTTAGAGCCCTCTCCTGGGATCCGAGCTTTGTGGGATGAGTCCCCCCAGGGCTGTGGAGGATCTGGAGGAACAGGCCACCCGCTCCCTGTCTGCGGGGCTCTGCTGGGAACGGAGGCCAGTAAACTGCCAGTGCAGTGACCAGAACGACTTCTGCAAAGAAATGAAGGAATTAGGCAAGGCACCTGCTTCCTTAGGGAGCACATGCCTGAGGATTTGGGTTTGGTTTCGTTGGTTTGGGCTATTTTTTTTTCTTTTGTTTGTTTGTTTTTTTTCTTTAAAAGGACGCAAGTTCGGCACAGAAAGAAACATAATTCTGCCCAATGCTTTTTCGCTTTTAAAAAACATTATATTATTAAAATTTTATATTTCTGGCAACATTTTCCAGGACCTCTAGCATTTTTTTATTTAAAAGAAAAAATGCTGCTATAAATGCTGCCTATTTAGCTAACAGTGTTTTTAATCCTACCTAAGAAGGACAAGAGACACACATTGCAATTGTGAAATAAATGCTAGTGTTAGGCCTGGATTGAAAATCTGGAGGAACTGAAGGCTTCGATTCGTGGATTCCTGCACAGAGGAGAAATGATAGACTCTGTGGTATTTGGAAGAAAAGCATTGCAGAAGAAGCAGTATTTTGAGTTGAATCCAACAGGCTACATGAGTGTGAAATAGCAAAACCCATAAAAACAAATATGCTGTTAATATAATATGCTTGTTAAAAATAATACAGCTTCTACTGGGATTTTTGTAAAAGGAACCATCTTTCAAATAATCTGTAAAGAGTAACCCTTCCTGGGTTTTACAGTGAGATAATTATGAAGTCCATTTGGGAAGGTTCTTCCGATGTTAAGCAAGTATGCTGTCATTACATTTAATTAGGTACGTATTCAAATAACCTTAGCATGAGGAGAGGAAATTGTTTAGCAAGCATTCCAGCATTCAAATAATTTCAGTTTAGATGTCAGAAAATGTATGCTCTCCCTACATTTTAATACAAGTGTTCTGTGCTCCATTGGGAAAATACAATTGCACATCAGCCATTCCAGCTTTCTGATTCTATACCTGTGTGTTGTTATTACTTCTGCTCAGAGCAGTGAGACGTGTCCTGCCACAAAAGTTACTTGCCAGCTTGTAATTCTACTCAGTTGACTTAATTTTCATCTGAGATCTGCACAGTGGATCTTAGATCAAACATTCATCTTTCCGTTCCCACTATGTCTAGCTGGTGTTTTAGACATGTCAGGAGTGAACATTGTTGAAACCAAGGTCTGACATGCAAATGAACACATGTGCTTGTCGTTACCACCGTTAGGGAAGGCAGAAATACAACATGACTGTATCTAAGTTGCCAGTGATGAGATTCTACATCACCATTTTTTAATCTACGTGGAGAGGTACACACTAGGAGATGGTAGGGAGAAAATCTTCCTGTTTTAGCAGGTTGTTAGTTCACCTGCTTGACAAAGATCATTTTCACAGATACAAGAGGAGTATAGATGTCCAATCCTGACCCTCAGATTTTGAAGAACCCACCCCACAGCTAGATCTTTTCATCTACAAAATGAGGACGGGCTTGCTTTCACAGTTTCACTGTGTGAAAGTCAGAATTGCAGAGGAGATGGTGGCTCCGGTGACTTCCTAGTTGATTTTATCCAGAACTGAAATGAAAAGCTGAATCATCAGGCTTTTCACAAAACAAGAAGGTCAAACTAATTTTTACTTGGAAGTGTTGAAATGTGCTCTCCTGACACTTCTTTGATTGAAACAGAATGTTTTGACCTTTTACTGCTTAAACACTGTATTTTAGTTTGGCCTAAATCTACACATTTTATTTTGGGTGAGTATGATAATTGCATCTTCCTGTGGTCTTTGGATGCTTATCAGAGTTTGACTGTGGGCTTTGCTTCCTTGGATTTCCTAATAGCTTGGGTTTCATAGTCAGATTGTCTCTCCTGTGGAATTGCACCTCATGAAAATGCTACCTGGGTAACATGATCTAACAATATTGTTAAGCACAGCAGAGAGGAGAGATCCCTGAGGCTCCATGGTACAACAGATCTGACTTCAAAAAAAGATGTTTAGTTCAGTTTGGGTTTGCAACAGCACAGCAGAATTTCAGTTTTCCATTAAGAAGGTGGACTAAAAGCTTCAGCAAAACTTGTTTTGCAAGGAAAAATTTTCCACTGAATAATCACTGACAGAAAATTTGCAGCCTGCTTTACTACTTGTCCTACTACTGCATTGGAAATTTGTTAGTAAGCAGATGTGTTTTGTGCCTATATAGTGTAAAATAATTCCAAGTAATATTTTAGATCAGAATCCTCACTGCAAAATGAGATCACCAGTGTCAGTGGGAGATGTTTGTTCATTCTCCATTAAGGGAAAATACTGGATCAGTGTTCCTCTTCATAATTCATGCATGTGATATTCTTGTAGCTTGGGGAAAGAAACTTCTGAAAGCTTTTTTGGGGGTGAGGGAGCTTTCAATATGCTTCAGATGTCTTGTTTACTGTTGCAAAGTTCACTGAAAATGTTTCATACCTCGTTTTACTTCATACAGCTTGCTCACATACAACACAAGCAGTGCCATGTCCAGACAGTAATAATAATAAACAATTACTACTCTAAAGAGTGTAGTAACAAAGCCACTAGCAATATGAAACTGAATTGAATGAATTGGCTGAATCTTGACCATTGCTTGTATAAAATCAGGAGTCATACAGCATTTGTTTCATAGGCTTCTGAACAGCTGAAGTTCATATAGTCATAAAAGTAGGATGTCAAGGGCCAGGCATA